AAAATGTTTCAAAAACTCAGTGACTAAAACATGGTGAGTGAATGATGAAATTCAATGTAATAAAGTTTAATAATCAATTGAAAGAATTTTAAAGTTCAATGAATAAAACTCAATGGATGTATAAGTTGAGTGACTAACAAAACGTTTAACTCATGATTCAATACATTTTACCAACCAAAGGTGAGTCTAAGTAATGATATTTATTACGATTGGGTGGATAGATTTTGACGATTTAGGACTTATTGAACATGACTTTTAAAAAGTAAAAAATAAACTTTTGAAATTCAAAATCTACTTTTGGATCCATTAGTTAATTTTATAAAATTGCTTCTTTAGTTAAAAGAATTTTTAAAGGAAGTTGATCACATATGACTTCATCTAAAAACACTTTTAAAATAGAAAGTTCTTTTAAAAATTAATTTCGAAACAAAAGTTAAGAAAATCTCCTCCAAAAACATTTTTCTATATAAAGCAAAATTAAAAGTAAAAGCAAAAGTTACTGCCAAACGAGCCCTTGCTGTCCGTAAATTTGTTTGGAAAATGTAAATGGGAGCTGATGGCTGATGGGCTTCACCATAATTTAATGGCAATGTCAGTCTTCAATCATGAGGGGACGCTCTGGAGCCAGAAGGGTTTCTCAGACGGCCCCTGCCCTAATTATTCTTGCCCTACAAACTCTGTGTGGGTTGTGTGTGTTTTCTTTTTCAAATTGCAAAAGGACATGAAAAAATGTATAAGAAGTGCAAGCACTTGTGAAAGACTTACGCATTGATCCAGTAGCTGAAAAGATCAATGAACAAGAAGGAAGATATCTGGATTTTGTAATATCAATTCAGGAAGAAAATGGAAGTGAAATAATTTATACATATCCTTCTGTTTGACATTTAAACTGAAAAGGCAATAAATAGATTTTGTACTAGGAAGTTTTTTCCTCTTCCAACTTTTTCTGGGATTTCCTTCTCTTGACGGAAAATCAATGGAGAAATCTCTATTTCTCCTTTTATGATCTTGACTGTTGAGCTGCGAAGCAGGTGATCAACACATCTTGAAAGTAACTAGCTAGCCAGATAAATTTTCCTAGGAAAATGATTTAATTGATTTACACACAAAATCTGAGAAGTAGGGTTCCATTCCTTAGCAGAAGTTCTATTCTATTGTTTAACTTCTATTTCATCTGGATTCTGAAGCTTTTTGCCGCCAGCTTAGCTGCTGCAGAACATAGATTCAAACGAACAAAAAATAGAGAAATAGTCACCATAGACTAAAAAAGAAAAACTGTAAGACCAAGAAAAATGCTGTGTGATTAATAATACAAAAATTAAGCATCTAAAATTTCTTAACATGCATGGTAAAGAAAAAGAGAAATTTTGCACGAATTTATGCAAGGGGTTCGTTACCTTGGCTCTGTATACAGTCGAAAACAAGGGAAAGAGCTTCACGAGGGTTTTACAAAGAGAATTCAACAGAACTCAGTTGGCAGTATGCCCACCTCCATATATCATCAGAATGAAATTTCTTAACAGGAATGGAGGTGGACAGAATGCCAATAAATTCTGGTAGAAACCCTTTGATAAACCGCCATGACCTAGTCCAAGAACACACAAAATCCACCACTGACATCACACACACGCCTACACAAATGAAAGACGTGCAGGGAAAAAGGCTGGATTATTAGTACCAAGTATGAGGTGTAAGAAAGAGGGCAGTTGGGCACTATTTAAGATGAAAGATGAGCTACTACAGTAAATAAGAGAGAGAAAATTGAAGAGCTGTAAATAATTAATAGGGTTGGTTTCAGTTTTTCAGAAGGAGGTAATAATCAAGACTGGGTGGTTCATTCTCGGGAAAAAATTTTAACAAGAAAAGAATCAAAGAATCGTCATAGAAATTCTTTCCCTAAAAAACTCTCCCTCCCTTCCACCTCGATTGTGATGAAAAAGAAAACCATATCTCCCCATCTACCATCAGTCTTTTTTTTTGCATTTCTCATACCCTCGTTTGTGATGAAGACACAGTCAGTTTTCTCTCT